TTGTCTCAGTAGGGAATGTATGTGGGAAGGAGCTTGCAGGAAACAGTGTGGAAGAGAGAGGTTAAAGGGTGATTGGAAACGGCCTGTGTGTCCTGCTGAAGAGTTTACAGTCTGTTTCCTAGGAGGGAGCTGGGGGAAGTGGAAGGGAAGCTTGAAAAGGTGTGATAAGCAATAGAAGTGAAATTCTCTCTTTCTGTCTGAGAGACCTGGGTTTGATTCTTGTTCAGTCCTCCTTATGCACAGCCACCACTTGTTAGTAGAGGCTTCCTGACTGAGGCAGAGTAGGAAGAAAGGCCTGGCAATATTCCTTGGTAAATCAGCCAGTGAAAACCCAGCGGCTCACAGTGTTCCGATCCACACTGGTCAGGGAATTGTGCAACTCTGGGCAGCATTTTATCTTTATTGCAGGGGTTGCTGTGAGTCAAGAGTCAGCTCAAAGGCAGTGAACAACAAAACCTACCCCTACCACCATTGTAACCAGAAGTTGTAAACAGAACCACAGTTGTAAACAGAAATGACAGGAGCTGTGTTTCATAAAGGAAACTGAAAGATGAATCTGAGAAGGAATGTGTGACATGGAGAATTCTATTGTGAGGTGATTGTAATTGCCTGGCAAGAGAGGGCAAGGGCCTGCACAAGCCAGAAGAGACAGGAAAAGGGGAGGAATCCACCAGAGGCATTGCAGGAACAATTGGGAGGGCTTGAAACAAATTCAAAGTAAAGCTGAGGAAGAGGGAGGGGGTCAGGTTGCCTGCCAGGCTGTCAGGCTGTGTGGTCAAAGAGTTGATTACACCAATTACTGAGATGGGAGAGAGGGTGGGAGGGGCAGGGGGGCTTTGACAGGAATGGAGGGGAGCTCATTTTGAGGGATCTTGTTATTGAGACTGCATAGAGCTTCAGGAAGGAGGTAGAAAGGTCTTCACGGAGCCGAGCCCTCTGCTTTTAGATACACCTTGAAATAGCAGCATCTTGCAGTTTGGGTTGGCCTTTGGAGTAGTCCAGTCCCTTACACTGGCAGTCCAAAAAAAGCCAGAGTCATTGCCATGTTCCACGTTTCTGGCAGCTGAACTTACCAGGGGCCCTGAGGGAGACAAATAGGCAGTCACTTTACAGCCTTGGATACCCAGGAGGGGGTCGCCATGTGAGTCGATATCAACCCCAAGGCAGTGACTGAGTTTGAGTGTCTCCTGATCTCTGTCAAATGTGTAACTTTGGCTTATTAGCACACCTTGCTTAGGGCTGCGCCACCAGAGGTTGAAAGTGGTTTTGGATAAGGTATGAAAAAGCTCGTGCTTTGTTTTTATTGTTAAGTGCTGTTGAGTCAGAACCGACCCATAGCTGACCTTCTAGTAGGTTTTCAGAGGCAGAAAATTGCAGGGGAAGAAATTACCCATCCTTCTGTGGAGGGCTTGAACCACATGCATTTAGGATTGCAATACAGATTCTTACCACTAGACCATCAGAGTTCCTGATTGTGCTTTAGGCACTGAAATAATCTTTGTTGCTGTTATGTGCCGTCGAGTCACCTGTGACTCAGACTGACCCTGTGCACAACAGCTCTGAAGCCTGCCCTGTCCTGAGCTGGTCTCACTGACTCCGACACATGTACCCCCATTGCCCCAGTTACTGTATCAATCCATCTCATCCAGGGTCTTCCCCTCCTGCACTCTCTGTCTGTCCATGCTTCTGAGCATGATGTCATTAGCACCAAGGCCACACCCCTCAAAGGAGCCTTTCAGACTGTAGGCTCCAGCCCTGCCTGCCTTTTCCTTTCATCGCATGGCCCTTCCCTTTCTTTGAGGGTCTCTTTCCTGTTGCCTGGCTTCCCTTTTGGGATCTGTAGCTTTTTCTAATTAAAATGTTCTTTTTCAAACTACCGTCCCTAATTAATTGGATAATTATCCTCCAGATGCCAGTTTCCTTGGAGAAAATCCCTATTACTCTTGTGAGGTACTGTCCAGTCAGAACTGACCCACAGCTGACCCTCCAAGCAGGTTTTCAGAGGCAGTAATTCATATGGGAGGAGGTCATGCATCTTTCTCTCAAGGAGCAGCTGCTAAAAAAGCCAAAGGCACTGCTGTGGAATCCCTTCTCAATGGCAACCCTCCGCTAGGTTTTGAGACTGTAAATTTGTTCATGGGAAGAGACTGCTCATCCTTCTCTGTGTGGCAGGTGGATTCGAACTACTGACCAACTGTTTAACAGCTCAATATGTAACACACTATGAGACATTCGGGAAATAGTTATTTTGGTAACCTGTTCTGGTCCTTCCGCCACTTACTATAGTAGCAATTCCATGTTTACTTCCCTGAGTCAACTATTGTGTATCCTCTTTACCGACTTAATTATGCAGCAGAGTAGAGATGGTGATGTTTGTTCATTAATGTGTCTCCAATGCATTGCAGCAAAAAGCCCAAGCTTGTTGCCCAAGAGTTAATTCCAAGTTACGGTGACTCTGCACATTTCCGAGGTGACGTGCGGAGATGGGCGCTCCATCGGCTATTCAGCGGCTGTTGTAGTCTTACTGAAGTAGATCTCAGGCCTTTCAGTCCTCACACCGGCAATATTTCCATTGGTCGCTGAGCGAAAAGTCAACGCATGTTGTTGTTATTATGTGCCGTCGAGTCACTTGCGACTCATAGCGAGCCTATGTACAACAGCCCTAAACCCTGCTCTATTCCTTGCCAGTCTCACTGTCTCCAACACACCTACCCCCATTACCCCAGAGATGGAATCAGTCCATCTCATTTAGGGTCTTCCTGTCCTGTGTTGTCCCTCCACCCTCCCAAGCATGATGCCCCTCTCCAAGGATTGGTTCCTTCTTGTAACATGTCCAAAAGTATGTCAGACAGAACTTCAGAATCCTTGCCTCCGAGGAGCAGCCTGGTCTCACCCTCTCCAGGATAAACCTGTTCATTCTCTTGGCAGTCAATGAGATCTTCAATACTCTTCTCCAGCACCAAAGCTCAAAGGCATCAACTCTCCTTCTATCATCCCTAGTCATAGTATTTGCCTAAGAACAAGAATCAATACCTCTTTTTTAAACACAATCATACCATTAAAGTTCCAACACTTACCCATTTTATCGTGTGAGAAATGTCATAGAATCTTCTAGGGTTTTTTAAATACACATTTTATTATGATGGAATAACTGTGTATGACCACTGAACATATTTCATGTGTGAAATGCAGGATCACTTCATTCATTGACAGGGTTTTGACATTGAAAACTGAATAAGTAGACTCTATGAAACTAGGAACTGGACAAAGTAAGAACAGCAATTACTTCAAAAAGTGATAGAAATAGGAAAGCGTTATTATAGGTGCGAGTGAATTCAAGGTGGTTTCAGCAAAATAGCAGGTCAGTAGATTCCCTGTTGCAGTGACAGCTTGGGGAGAAGGCTTGACAAGCCTCCACGTAGCCCAGAAGAAGGAGAACACATAGCCTCACATCTAATTTGGGGGCCCACGGCCTTCTGCCAGCTCTGTGTCTGACCTACTTGGTAAATTTTATTATGTTTATAGTTTATTCTTCATTTGCAGCAGCAATTAGAGAAATAATGAGTCTCATTTTACTCTGGATTATAGTTCCAAGTTCTTAACTTGGTTAAGGTGATGGACCTCTTTGGCAGTCTTTACTATGCCTGTGGACCTATTTTCAGAATAATTGTTTTCAACACACAAAGTAAAGCAGCGGCTAACAAAGGACATTTCCTAACCATCTATCTGCAGGTTAACAACCACGGAGTCCTCTGGATCAAAGTGTCCAGTTCAGGCATCCAGGGAGTGCCCGGCCCTGGAAGCCTGTTCTCATTTTTGGCAGTCATTAAGGATCCCTGTCTAGGGACCCATCGCTTCAGCAGGGTCGTTAACGGGTGGCACTCTGTCAGGCCTTCTGTATTTATTTAGCAGAAATTCTTTTCTAAAACTGTTCTCTCATTAAGTCTTGAGTTTATCCTTTAGTTTGTAGAAGAAAAATCATATAAACAGTGGATGCTTATCAGTCTTCTACATAATGAATATCTAACGTCATTCAAAAGTGACCACTGAATTTTGTTTAAATGCCATTATAAGGTTTTAGATTTTATCATATTTGATATGTTTCACATCATTAATTATGATGTTTATTTGGATTCTCAAAGTGTCTGATCTTTAGCCAAAAACAGCCCTTTCAAGTTAGCCCTTATTTGATTACTTCCTTGCTTTTCAGTTTGACAGCATGGTCTAAGCTGGTCTTATGCATTTGATGATTTAATTGTTCTCACATCAGCTCATCTTGAGCAATTCCTGTCCTGAACCGGGACTCAACAACCAACTGATAGGATACTGCTGGGTTTACGTGTATGTATGTGTTTAATCCAAGCCACGGTAATTTTGTTTGCCTCGTAAGTATGTGAAAATTGGACGCCGAATAAGACGATGGAAGAAGAATTGATGTCCCTGAATTATGTTGAAGAAGGATATGGAGTATCCTTTGGACTATCAAATAAACAAGTCTATGTTGGAGAAGTGCAGTCAGAGTACTCCTTGGAAGCAAGGATGGCGAGTCTTCGCCTCAAGTATTTTGTATGTTTATTCTCTGAAGAAAGACATCATTGTTGGTAAAGGAGAGAATCAGTGGAAAAAGAGATTCTCAGCATGACAGATTGGTGCAGTGACCGCAGCAGTGGGTTTAAGCCCAGCGGAGATTATGAAAATGTTTGCGCTCAGACAGGGTTTCCTTGTGCTTGTCGTCTGTAAGTTCTCTCTGAGTTGGAGCTGGCTCAGTGACACTTACCAGCAGCACGTAGTGGTATTCTATTTAGTCGCAATAGTGTGACTGCAACATGGAGTGGCACATATTGATAATAATAGTAAACGCTAACAGGTGATACATGGTGATTAGGAAAATGCATGAAGACTATCTAATGAACATCATTAAAGTGTGGGTCATTAATCCTGAACAGATGCTGCATAAATCCTTGATAACCAACCAGTTTGCATTGTGCTTCCCTCCCCAGTTAATGTCCGTCAGTGTGTTGGCGGTGTCTGCTCGGATGAGGGACTATCTAAATAACGTGCTGACCTTAACTGCAGACACAAGGTAGGCCTCGTCGTTAATGATTCATTTCTTTCATTAGAATTTTTTTAGATGCTGGCTTTTAAAGAACTTTGTCCTGATTGGTCCAGATGGTAGCACTGTTCCGTGATCATTTGAGAAGTTCTTGCTCATGGTCCCTTTCTGGTGGACACTTGAATTTTATACTATTCTCAGTAAGGTGTGACACGGGCCCCAGCAGATTTCTAAGTATAATTCTGGGTACAGAAACACCAAGAATCTCTTGAGTAGGGTTGATCATATCATATCATGTATCATATCATATCATATCATATCATATCATATCATATTTACGTATAAAAGCTTTTTATTTCTGCTATTTCCCCCTAGTAATGGTCATCCCCTTCTTCTTCCTTTGATAATGTTGATATAACAAAAACCAAGAACCGCTGTGTGTTCTCTTATAAGAGTTGGTCTGTTCACATCACAAGGGGCAACAAATTATTTGACTTCTTTTAGTCTCAGTTAATTCTTTCTGGATGGCACTTCCAATTTGTGTCACTCTAGATTATTATATGGATTAAATGAGATACATTCCTGTATCATTTATAGCCCTTAACACAGAGGAGCTTAGTGATCCCCTATTAATGAAATTTTGGTTATAATTATTATTTCTTTTTGGCTCTGATAAATGAATTTTCCATGGTGTTTCCAGCAAAAGACAAAACAAAACAAGGCATCCTCTTTCTCCTTTCCTTATTCTTTTGATGTTTTCCTCTGTATGTCAGTTTCACACATTTTTGGGGAAGGATTAGTGGTTAGGTTAAATGCAGGGCTACACATGGACTCCCAAAACAGAAGGAGGGATGAGAAGTACTCCCAGATGAGAAGTAACCAAGAGGCCCACACTGTACTCTCACTAAGATTTCAGAGCTATAGTAGATCGACTTCTCCTAGTATAGTGATTTAAATGTTCTACTGCTAACATAAAGGTCAGTGGTTCAAACCCACCAGCCACTCTGCTGGAGAAGGATGTGGCAATTTCCTTCTGTAAATATTTATAGGGTTCAAAATCCTCTGGGACAACTCTGCTGAATGGTTTCTATGGTAAATTTAAAGGTAAAGTTTATTGTTTTTTAGTCTTATAATATGGGAAGGAGCCTTGGTGGCATAGGATGTAATGGATCAGTTTGCTAACCGCAAGGTCTGAAGTTCTGATCCACCTGCTAAATTATAATCCAAACTGCTCTTTAGGTGAAGGGTGGACATTCTCTTCCCATAAAAATTTAGAGCCTCAGAAACCCAAGGAGAGTCACTATGAGTCAAACTGACTTGTTAGCAATGGGGTTGGATTATAAAGTAAATGCACTGAGTTGGTAGTGAGTTTGAGGGAGTTCAAGGCTGATCACGGGGAAAGATACGAATGTCTTTTGAGAGAGCAGCATTGCACAAGCTATGTATCAGGATCAACAAAACAACCTGTAGTGGGCTGTGTGAGTAAGAGGTGATCCCACTTAGCAGAAGGTTCTCTGAAGGCACGTCAGGCACAGGGAGCCCCCAGAACCTCAAGAGAAGGGGAGACTCCCAGGAAGGTGGAGGAGGCTCCCTGATGCCTGTGCAATGCCCTTGTGCAGCTCAGGCTGCCTCAGAGAGCTCCAAGGACATCAGCACTGGGGATCCTGGGCTTTATCTTATCTGGGACCCGCAGACGCTGAGTGCACTGTCAGGGACATGTAAAGCCGCCAGGCTCTAATTGATAAAAACCTGCTTATTTGCACTATTTTTAAAACAGCTGGATGTGTGAAAATCTGAATTTGGCAGTGGTGGGCTGTTGGGGCTAAGAAGTCCAGCTTGTTGTTAGGGAATTATGTTGGGCCAGGATGCAAAGGCTGTCTTTATATAGCAGAATGCTACTACTTGTATATGAAAAAAAAAAAAAGAAATTCATTGAACAAAGCCCAAAATATGATTAGGAGACACACACACACAAACACATGGGGGG